AAAAAAATTCAACACAGCTACAAATTGTGTAAAGAAATAATAATAGATGAATATGATAAGAAAATATCAAAATGTGGCGACAATTTCGCGACAAATACATTTCAAATCCTGTCCTGCTTGTACCAATAATGATCTACCTCATCTGGTGCGCATAATTGCGTGATTTTTTTTAAACAAAGATGCATGCATTAAAGGAATGCTCAATAAGCATAAATAATGAAGAAGGATTTGAATAAAAGCGAATTTGCTTATTTTGCTCGTCACAGGAAAGCACAAAAAATTTTTGCTACAGCAATAGAAAGAAAATTAATTTTCGATCATACTAGAAAATTAATTTTCGATCATACTATTCATTAATTCTACATTATTTTATATTTATTGTGTATTTTTATTTAGAAGAAACTTAAACTATAATAATAATTGCTATACTTACAATAACCTCATTTTAATTACAATCGATACTATTATTAAAAATTTCTTCTTTACTTTATAATATACATATAGATACGTAAAGAAAATTACGATAATGAAATGTATAAAATAACATTGGATATTTTGGACAAAGGCATTAATGCGCACACATACTAACTACACATATACTAAACTACGTGCATAAATACTGATACCATATTTTAAGTTTCAAAATATGAAAGAAGATTGTATACCTGAAGATTGTATACAAATCGATTGTCAAATGCTGGTTATTCATCAATGCTGGTTATTTAAGGAATACAATCTTTAAAAATACCCCCAAGTTTTGAAGAAATATCTATTTATAATATGGAATGCCCACCACGAAGAAAAAATTACTTGTTGCACAAACTGATCGCAACTTATTGTCCGATAACGACTTTTATAATGTAATAAATAATAATATTATATTAAAAGGACAAAAGAAATGCTATCAGAAAGATTGTCTAGGATTTGAGACAACACTTTGCAAAATTGGTAAATAGAATCTTATTGTAGCACAGTATGACATACAAACAATATGATATAGTATAATATATACTTTTGCATTCAAATATACTTTTACATTCTTTACAAGTTCCATTGTACTATTTGATATTTGTACTTTTGAAAGTACAAGAACAATAAAATTATAAGATATAACGACTACAATAAAAAATTCTGTAAACGCAAAAGAACGTTTAGAATTAATAAATATTAGTGATTATAAAATATCTCCAAGGTTGAGTTATGGATTCTCTCAAGAAATAGGACATTATACTGCGATATGTTTCCGTTCAGGAAATTATAGAATATAATCTGAATATAGAATATAATGATAACGTCCCCAGAAAAAAAATTTAAAAAATCCCTTGAGATAAACCCATATGTTCTTGTGTATATTAAAAATATGAAATAAATTTTAAACGAAAAGATACCATTTTTATTATATTGATACATAAAGGTTAATCCATTTAGTATGCATGCATTAAGAAAAATGCGTGATTGTTTTTCCACGATACTAAACGGTATTCTGTCAGTACATAAATAGTTTTAATAATCCCAGATAATAGCGAATATTATTAGTGAATTAAAAAGTATACGGTGCCAGCAAATGAATAGCGCGCATTTATCTCGTATAAAATTGAAAACATTTCATTCAATATAAATTTCTTCTTTCATCTTTCTAGGATATCATGTACAATGTATAAGATTTATTGTAAATCGCGAGCAACAAAATCAGGGAACCGTAATCATTTGAGATATTTAATTCTTTTGCAGATTTAAGGTGTTGTGCTGATATTGGATAGTGGGGATGGTTCTCAAGGATTGAGAGTGGAGCAATAAAATTAGGAATTGAGCAAGAAATTAACAACAAATTCGCGCTAAAAAATATGTTATATTTTTTATGTTTTTAATTTTTTTTAATGGTCACATAACTTTAATCTTAAGTTAGCACAATTATATTTTCTCCAAATCGGCTGAAGCAACAAAATCAGGAATTGAGCAACAAATTAGCAACAAAATAGTATTTAAAATAGCACTAAATTCCTGTGTTAATTTTATACGATTGTGCTAAAGTGGCTGTGCCAGCTTAATAGACGTCACCGTGTATTACAATTTGCTCAATCCGCCTGATTCCGTGATTACATGAAACACAATACACATTTTAGAACGTGCGCGAAAAATGATTTAAAAAAAATTTGTACAAATTGATAAATACAGCGGTAAAACAATGGAAAATTTTCGGAATCACGTGGACGTAAAATTGATAACGAAATGGAGTGAACGGTATGGCGCGGAGGCAATGATCACAAAACCAAATTTCCACAGCCGCAGCGTCTTTACGGAAAACTTAATCACCGTCGAACTACGTAAACTCGAAGTGAAATTCGACAAACCGATTTATGTAGATATGTGTACACGATATATCGAAAATCGGCTTGTACGAATTTCACCACAAGTATATGTCACCGTTGTATCGCGACAAATGTAAGATCATGTACATCGACACGGACAGTCTCATATATCACATCGAGTGCGATGACGTGTACGAGACAATGAAATGATATCGCTAGATTAGATACGAGTGATTATCCGCCGGACAACGCATACGGGACGCCTCTCGTTAATAAAAAAGTATCCGGCTTAATGAAGGACGAAAATAATGGTGCGATAATGAAATTCGTCGGACTCAGAGCGAAGATGTACGCTGTGAGGGTTGACGGTAAAAAGGACACTAAAAAGGCGAAAGGTGTAAAGAGTAATGTCGTAGCGCGAACAATAACGTTCGATGATTACACGCGATGCTTGAATGAAGAGAT